CGCAGGGCGCACCGGGCCCCGCGTCCGTGCTCACCCTGCTCCCGCCGCGCTCTGGGTCCGCCGCTTTTTTGTGACCCTTTTTGTCACGTGTGTATGTTGAGGCCGAGAGAGGGGTGCGCATCGACCGGTTCAGGGCAGCAGCCCAGCTTGGTGGCCGGTCTGGAACCGGAACCGGAACTGGAAACGGAACCTTAAGTTTCTCGGCGCCCGGCGCGAAGATTAATCGGTCGGCAGCATCCAAGGGCGAGGGAAAAAGCGTGTCGAGCCTGCCGGTCCCGAGACGGAGGTTATACCCGGGCAGCCGAGGCTAGACTCGGCCGTGGGTGCAGATTACACCCCTCCCCCCGTCTGGTGGCCTCGGAATTTGAGACTTGGCGCGGACCCAGGCCTTTTGCTTATTCAACAGACGTCCCTTAAGCATTGTCATAGCCCGCCAAGCGCTTTTGGACCTGCACACGGGGCAGCTTTGGGGTCAGAGGAAACGGCATCCTTTCAAGTCTCTATTTGGGCCCCCAGACTGCTCGGTGACCGGTCGCAGTGTCTCCATCAGTATGGTGAGGGACCGGTCCTCCATGCTATACGCAGAGCACTTCCAGATGTGACACTTTGGGGGCTGACAGAGCCCGGGCCCTGGCCTCAGACCGACAGGAATTAGGATCCCCGCTCTCTTATTTCCTCTTCTTTGCTTTGTGATCTTGCGGAAGTCACTTTACCTCTTTGGACTTAAGTGTCTTCCCCTGTCAAGTAATGGGGTGACAGTAATGAAAAAGATCATGTATTTCAAGAACTTGGCCCATTGACATGTTCCTTAGATTATCCGTTACTTTACGTGGAGCATGAAAGTCCCCCCAGTGTGCCTGGTCCAGCGTTGCTAGGACTGGTTCCCTGTCTCTCTGCAGTGCCCTTGATGATGTCTGTACCACAGCTGGGTGCAGTTCAGGCTTATTTAAGTCTATGATTTGCAGCCCTGATGGCAAATGATTTAAAAAATGCAGATGCCTGGGGCCTACACTATGACTTTTTGGATTTAATTGGTCCGGAGTGGGGCCTAGGCTCCATCTCCATTCCAGTGTGCAGCCGAGGGGTGAGGCCAAGCTTGAGAGGGTTCCTGGGGGTGGCAGCAAGCTCATTTTCCTACACTGCTGTTCTTAGATGGCACTCCCCACACTGCCCTCCTACTGGTGTAGCCGGAGGCCCCTGGATGAGCAGCTAGCGCGGCAGCGACACCGAGAGCAGGAGGCCCGGCTTCGACAGCAGTGGGATGAGAACAGCCGCTACTTCAAGATGTCTAACGTCTGCAGCTCCAAACAGGCAGAATGGAGCTCCAAGACCTCCTATCAGCGGAGGTAACTGTGCGGTGACCGACACTGGATGGAGGCAGGCGGGCGGACACTTGCTCGTCAGGAGATGTAGCCTTAACCTGGGAGAATATGGCTTGATAGCATGTTTTCTCAAGGGAGTTGCTGGACAGCATGGATTGCCTGCCTGGTGATGTTTTTCTAACTGGAAATTGAAAAACAGATAATCAGCAAAGTAATACATTTGCATTGAAAAAAAAACAAAATGATATGAAACTTATGTAGAATCTGGAAGTTTCCTTGTGACCTCATGTCCCCAGCCTGAGTGCATGTCCTCCCATACATTTTCCCATTTGTGTTTGTGTATAAATATATACACACACCTACATCCATTTTTATAAAAACACCTGTAAAAATATGGAAGTTAAAAAGCAGAGGCTTTGGAGTCAGACAGACTTAGACAGAAATCCTGACCGTGTTGCTGCTTGAGTGAGCCTCAGTTTCCTCATCAGTGAAGTGGGGCTGAAACAGAACCTACTTCTTAGGTTTACATGATGAACCATCCATGGTTTTACCTGGTACATGTTAATTGCTCAAATAATATTTGCTAGCACTATTATCATGTGCGTATATAAGCGTATTTATGTTTTCTTATTGCAAAAACAAGATTCTGTCATGCATAGTGTTCTGGGACCTGCTCTGTTAACTTTGGCTGGACACCCCTTTTCATGTCACCGTGTTGTACGTACCTCAGCCTCTCTACCCATGCAGCAGAGTGACCCGTATGGCTGTGGCACAACTGGTTTACGGTGGGCTCCTTCTCACCCAGCATGCACGCCTACCAGCGCGAGAAGATGAAGGAGGAGAAGAGGAGGCATCTGGAGGCCAGACAGGAGAGACTTCAGCAGCTTCTGCTAGAGGAACAGGACCTGCTGGCCAGAGAACTGGAGGAGCTGAGGCTGAGCATGAACTTGCGGGAAAAAAGAATCCGGGAGCAACACAGGAATCTCAAGTCAGCCCGGGAAGAGCAAAGGAAACTGGTAAATTCTCATCACCCTTAGGCACGTCCCCAGCCTGTCAGGGATGTGCATGTGGGTCACCCCTGTGTGTTCTGGTCTGATGAGATGGCAGTTAACTCCAGAGCCAGCTGGGAAGGTGTTTACTCTAAGTTGTCCTTGTGTGTTTTGCATGAGTCGTCTTTGTTGTCGTTGGCCCTTTAAATCATTACATCCAAGTTCTTTTTTCTTTATTCCAGTTCTGTGGCCCCCCAAGGCCTGGGACTTGTGTATTTTTTCTTCCAAAGTAGTTGTGTAGAATGGTGAGCCCCAATCTGTGTTTCTAAGCCTGCTGTATATTTTGAAGGAGATCTGTAGCATCTAGGACCCATATGTAACATTGGATTTTGGCACCTTCCGTCACCATTGTAAGAGTCATTTGTCAGCGCCATCTGGTTCCACTCAGGTGTCTGGCTCCTGGAGCCATGGGTGCAAGGCCAGGTTTGAAGGGCGGTGTGGTGACAGCATGCCAGTGGTGGCACTGTTAGTCTGAGTGACTTCCATTGTGGGTTATCTGAAATGCCAATAGATTTGAAAAGCGACATTAGGCTTTCTTTGTTTTCTTGACAGATTGCTGAACAGCTTTTGTACGAACACTGGAAAAAGAATGACCCCAAACTTCGAGAGGTGAAAACCAAGGAGATCTTTCCGTTGATTTGCCTAAGTAGATGAAACTGAGTTTCCTTACTTGTTTTAGACTTGCATTTTGTGCTGGGTTGAGACAGAGGGGAACACTCCAGCCACCTGAAAAGAGCATCATGCAGATCTAGTTCATTTGTTTAACACTGTTTCTTGAATACTGTTAATGTCCACCTGTGTGGCTGTGCAGACTAGGGGTGGTCCACCACTCCTAGGGAGCTCCCAGTCTAGTAGGGGAAACAGTGGGCAGCTCATTACAGTGTAGGATGCAGGCTGCTGGGCAGATTGGGAAGATGGGCATCAGGACAGTGCCCCCAGTTCAGTGGAGATCAGGCAGGCGTCCCAGAGGAGTTGCTGGGGTGGAGGAGTTTAGACGGACATGAGCATTAATTTGATGGTGTAGAGGTGAGGTGAGAACATTCTGGACTGAGGCAGCTGTGTGAGAATGGGGCCTGAGTCAGGAGAGCAGCGCAAGTCCAGGGAGCTATGAGTGGCCGGGAGGCTGGATGTCAGGGAGGGAAAGCCCCAAGAGCTGAGGCTGGTAAGGCAGATGGGGCCAGACCTCGGGCAGCCTTGTGTGCTTTCCCTGGAAGCATGGGGAGCGCCTGGATGGTTTTAAGCAGGGGTGCAATGGGAGAAAAGTTTCTGTTACTTTGTTCCAACTCGAGTTTAGAACCCTGGTCCTTTGGTTTTCTAATTGACTTGAATCAGGGTCATCGCGTGCTCCCTTACCAGATACCTGGGCCACTCTGAGTCCTCACAGAAGGAAGTCATGGTCACATTTCAGTGCATGTCCCTGGGCTCCCAGCGAATGTCTGTTAGATGAACCAGAGAGGAAATGAATCATCTCCTTCTCATCCTCAGATAGAATCGGACCTTCACAAGAAGCATGTGATAAATTCCTGGGAAACGCAGAAAGAAGAGAAAAAGCAGGTGTGGTCTGACTCTGGAAATGGTCCCGTGTGCTTGAGCCCCCCTCGGTGCCTGGCACTGTGCTGCGTGGTCCCCCAGCTCCGCATCTCAGTCCCGCGGTTCCCACAGTGAGCGCCGGGCGCAGGGGCGCAGCCGAGCACTGGCCTGCTCTGGCACAGACGCTTCGGGAGGAGGTGAACGCTGCGGGAGCTGGGTCTTTGCTGGCCGCGTGTGACAGTTACTGATCTCAGCTCATGTGGCCCCACGTAGCAAGAAGCCACAGAGGAGGAAGAGAACACCCAGTATGAAAATGAATGTGCAGCGGCCCGGAGGGAAGCGCTGGATCGGATGAGAGCAGAAGAGGAGAGGAGGCGGCTGGAGGATACGCTCCAGGCTGTGGCGCTGCAGCAGCAGATGGAGGAGTTGAGGGTGAAGGAGATGGAGGTGAGGCCACACCACGGCCACATGGCCTCCTCTTAGCTGTCTGTTATAAAATGGGCATTTCAAAAGCTATTCTAAAGAGATCATATGGGGGAGGTGATTCTAAGAAATGCAGCAATGCTGGGTTCTCCCTCCTGACATTTATAGCCATCTACAGCTTTTCCATACTCCTGGGTTGTCTTGTGTGCCCACATTCTAGAATGTTAGCCATATGGAGACAATAATGCCTGTTCTCTCCAACGTGTTTCGGGACCTGCTGTCTGAGAGCCTTCTTAGAACTTGGAGTTTCCAGCACTATGTACACTTGACTTAGTCTGATGATCTAGCACACAGCTATCCCTGGCTAGCAGGTTTTTGGTCTCAAGGCACAAACCGTGAAGGTCTTTGGTCCAAGAGGCTAGTTTGAGAATACTGTGCAGTTTCCCTGAGAGGAGGGATCTCCCCATTCAGAGGAGGGAAGCACCCCCTTCCCCAGGCCTGAGTGATTCAAGAACTAGGTCTTAGTGCCCACTACCTATTCTGGGTGCTAAGCACTGGGCTAGGAGCTAGAGATACAGCTGTGAGCAAGGCCCACAGACCTTGCCCTCATGGCGGAAGCAGTGGCAGGTGGAGGAGGCAGATGGTAAGTCACAGTAAAACATGGACAATACAGGGTCCTTTGGGAGCACAGAGCATGGGGCTCTTTCTGGTCCACAGGGTTGGGAAAGGCTCTTGCAAGAAATGGCCCATCTGGGCTGGGATGAATGAGTGAGTTAATCTGGGGCAAAGGGCTCAGAGCCCAGAGGTGGGAGGGGATTACGATCACCAGGTGGCCAGGCCAGCCCTTGTCACATAGGTCTGCTGAAAACAGAGATGAGGAATGAAGGGAGCTCTGATTCTCATGATCTTAATGGGGGTTACCATCATTGTAACCACAGGCCACCAAACTGAAGAAGGAACAGGAGAATCTGTTGAAGCAGCGGTGGGAGCTGGAGAGGCTGGAGGAGGAGAGGAAGCAGATGGCAGCACTGCGGCGGAAGGCAGAGCTGGGGTGCGTGGAAAAGGGTTGTGTCCGTCCTGCTCTCAGATCTCTCTTTTCTCACACTTGCCTTCGTATTCCTGAAACCAGAAAGGATACCCCCTATAGTACGTAGCTGTCTAACCTGCGTTTAATTCTTTGTAAGACGCTGAGGGCAACCTATGTTTTGTTCATTTTTAGACGCTTTTTGAGACATCAGTATAACGTGCAACTCAATAGACGTGCACAGCAGATCCAAGAGGAACTGGTATGTTATAAGAGAAAACCTGGCGTTTCTTTCACCCTCTTTTGAAAAACATGTTTTCCATTGCTCAGGAATGACTGCATCCTTGTACGAAGTAAAACACAAAGTCAGATTCCCCCTGGTCCAGCCCCTGCAGTCTGCGCCCCTCCCCAGAGCAGTCTCTTCGGCATGTCTCCTTCTAGATATACTTACACACATAGGCAAGTGGTGGTTTTTAAAAAAATGTGCTTGAAGTTGTACTCCTGAGCATATTTACCTAACGATAAATCTCACACTTTATGATCAGTCTATTTAGATTGAGCTTGTTCTTTTTTACTGGCTGCTCAGGATCCCTGTCCAGTATTTTGATGGGCGCCCTCCCTGAGAGGCGGACAAGGGGCGTGAGTGAGCAAACCCGTTTGCTCCCATCCCTGCCTGCTGCAGGCAGGGTCCTCGTGGCAGCACCATGTGGCTTTTCCCAAGGGCGTCTTTCCTGTCTCAGGCCTGCGGAGCTCCCGCCCTCTTGCACGGCGTTCCACTGCACAGATGTACAGAATAGCTATTCCCTAGCAATGGGTGTTTGGGTTGTTTCTGAGTTTTCCCTCTTACATAGCGGCTACAGTGAGTATTTTGTGCTTACCTCTGCATTTGTGTCTCTGGAGTCTATGTTTTCAGAAGTGGAATTGCTGTCAAATTGTGTTCTAAAAAGCTGTGCTACCAGATGTGTCTGAGAGCAGGGACATGGGTGTGGTGGCAGAGGGGTCTCCCTTTAGGCACAGAACAGCTCCTGGGCCTCTTTGATGTCGTTTTAAACCACCTCAACATCTTCCCATCTCTATGTGGAGAACATTTGGCAGCATCACGAGTGTCTGCTTTCAGAGCTGGGTCCAGAGACGAGAGGGGCTGCCACAGGGCTCCGCCCCTCACCCACTGTGCTTCCCCCCCCCCC